TCTGATATCTAAAAATGATCAAAAAAGGATTAAATTACGCATTTTTAGTATTAAAATATTTTTGTATTCATGTCATTATTATTCAAGGCAAGAATTTTTACATTTATGAGAATGACTACAAGCATATTATTTTATTTACTTTCATAATTAAACAGCGTAGTGTATAATCAAGATTCGAACCGAATCACATACACACACGAAGAAGAAAACTCGATATCATCCTTTTTACTTTCTAGGGGTTAAGACTTGGGCCTATTTTGTCAGATTCGCCTTTCCGACAGCAGACTTTTGCCTGACCTATTTCTTTTCTCGCCTAGCTTATGTAGATGATACGCTGCGACGATAACCCTTAACCTGTCAACGGCGCAGCTGCACAGGGAATGGGTGCCATTGCCTAAGTGCGTGCTAATCGGAGGAGAGCGTGAAACATCAGCTTTATATTGATTTCTATAGCGCCTTATGTTCGGCGTGTTGGGTGAGACATTTCGGTGCGTAATCGATTGCTTAATCGTCGATCAGGAAAAGTATTTGGGTCTCTATATAACAAATTTAAAAAATGACCAATGAAAATATAATTCTTAAAAATTACTTGTTTTAGACAAAATATATCAAAATAAGCATCAACTGCTTTTTAGGACATTTGAGACACTATTCGATGATAAATCTATTTTTTCACGATTCGTATACATCTGGAATTATTTTCCACACCCTCATAAAGGAATATAGGCATTTGTCCTAAAATCTGAGGTCTAAAAATAATATACTCTTGAAAGCACATTAATCTCATCAAAGCTTATTACACAAAGTTTTTCCATCAGTGTGAAACTCCCTGACTTGGTCTGTATTAATTACAACACATCATACAATATTCCTGGATGACATTGAAATGAACAAGATACCCATTTTCTTAAAGTGAACAGGGCAGGCAAGGTAAACTGAAAAGATGTTCTCAGATACATGTAACTCTCTGGACAGTGAGCAAACTGTGCCTTGCCAACATCATCTTTCCTCCAACGTGGATTTTTTTTTCAAGAGGCATTTTATTTCAATGTTGGTAAAAGTGTGTGAATAAGTTTTTTTTTTTTTAGCCGATCCGGTGGCCGAGATCGCTAAGGCAGTAGTGGCCGTAGCAACTCGGACCAAGATCGCGGGTTCGAAGTCCCCGCTGGCATGCGTTGTATAATGTGTTTCGTCCTTTCACCCCCCTTCATAATCATATCTGTCAACCCACAGTTACCCAACGTTACAACAATAGTGGTCGCTAATGACCTTAGTTACGTTGAGCCGACCTTAAATAAATAAAAAGAAAAAAAAAAAAAAGAAGTTTTTTTTTTTTTAATTACTCTCTTGATATCATCTTTTTTCTTCAACTCAGACTTTTCAAATATTTTTTTTACTAAGAGACGAATTGCAAATATTTATTTGTATTTTTGTTTTGAAAACTAACACTACATTTTTTGCCCTTGTGTTTTGGCACTAGCAAGCTTCAGTTTTGTCACTAAATTCTCCAGTACAAGATCGGTTTCGGTGGCTGCATCCACTTTTTTTATTATTAATATTTTTTGTGTGTGAGAACTCCTGCAGAGAGTATTGATAGCACACTTACGTGTTAAACTTTTCGAACATCACAATCCTTGTTCACACGCTTGGTCTCTTCTTTGTGATGTGCACTATTAATTTACAATACTTAAATGAGGTTCGTTCATGCGAAAAGAAGCATGTCCATCGAAAAAATGAATTTACATTGCAGTAATACGAAGGACAGTCAGCTGCATCTTCTGTCCTGATGTGAAGGAGGAAAAGCAAATGTATCCGTAATAATTTTACTTGTAAACATACGAGGTTCAGACAAAATCCAATATGTCCACAGCGTTGTTTCAATCAATAAAGAACATGTTCGCGTAACCAATACGATGCCAAGATTCACGATCACGTGACTGCTCATGGCGCATGGTTCATTCCGTCTGTGAAGTCTTCACAACAACGTCTTATTTTATTTATTAAAATACTGGGATCTCAAGAACAAGAAACTTTGTGTAGAATGTGCAAGAACGTACAGATCATAAATGTGAAGCGAATCATTATTCAGAAAACAATGAAAGGGAAGGAGATTCACACAGTCAAAGTTATCCCACAGAAATATTTTAAATTTGATGACGTTTCTGCTTAGAAACTTTGGAAACGCGGTTCTTCATTAAAAAATATGGTAAAATTTAGCCTTCAGCAGGTGTCACTTGAAAGGGGTATACCATTGGCAAGGAGATTTAATATAGCAAGTCTATTGGGACCTACTATCCCATATCTCTTGATTTCTCCGAGCGCCCTTGCTGTAACCACTCAGATTAATACTTGAAGAAGACCTGATGTTTTGTCAATGCATTTTAGTTGAAAATGGCCTTTGTGTTATTTATATTACAGACAACAGAATTAAAGTAATAGTTCGTGGGTCCTTGATAACGAAAAAGTTTTATTTTTGTTTTTCTGTTTTAACGTCCGACAGTCTCTGTCGGCAGTATGTGAACAACACTTGCGCCTTAACTACGTGTAGGATCATTTCCAAACTTAACAAACGCCTGGCGATCTGGCCTCACTCAAAGCTCTGCAATTTTGAAAAACATTAATTTTAGGGGTACTTTACATAAAGCCTGCGACATTTTCGAAATGTTGTCAACAATTGACTCTATTTTTTTTAATTTCTGTTAGAAATGAAGTAAAATATTCCTATAAAGATAGCACAGGTCCGATTTTCACCGTTAACTCTAAAATTTCGAAAATTACAAAGTTTCAAATTTTTCGGCGTCTTCCTACAACTACAAAATTGAAGATGGATTGTTTTTTCTTGAAATGAAATTTATTCTCCAGAATTCATTATTTTATAAAAGCCATGCACTGTACAAAATGCACTTTAAAACTTTATAACTTCAACGCAATTTTGCTCTATTCCTTTATATTTCAACAATTACATTAATGCAATTTTGGCATGACTCATAAGTAGTTAATATTTACATAACAGGCGATTTGTTCATATTCTTGCATTTATGAGTATGTACTTCAAATACTTTACAAACTTTTACGAAAACTTAAATGCTTTCCGTGAAATAAATTCTGTTCAAAATTTTGTACGGATAGTAGTGCAAATGCACTGTTAAAAGTAATTTTCCTGCATTATTTTTGTTTTACAAAAAATTAGGCAGATGAAAATGTTTTTAACATTCTCTCACGCCGTTTACGTACTCGTCTACCTGAGTTTTAAAATTTTTATTTGTGGTATGTATCTAAATTTAATAATGATTTCTCGTTGGATTAGGATTTAACAAATTCAAAACTAATATTTTAATTATTTCATTATGTCTGTGTTTCCTTCGAAAAATAACGTAAACTACATAATTCCCGAACAGTTAAACATTTTGATGATTCCTTTTTTAAATTTTTACTTCGATTTATACTTTCGTGCCTGAACCTACATTTGATTATCCATAAGTGACTTGTATGTACTTTGCCGTGATTTGAATTAGAAATTTTAAAATTAACTGATAACAGTAACAAATACCAGAGTAATTTATTATTGCTAATTTGCATTTTCTATAACAACTCCAGGTTTAGGCATAGGAATTGACTTCTTATTACTTACTGTTATTAAAAAAAATTAATCAAAGATGTTTTCAAAATTTAAGAGTAATGATGTTTCGAGTCGGGCCAAACAAGTCTGGTCGTCTGTGAACACAATTTCCTTACAATAAGAAACAATCAGTCCAAAATTATATTGTGCTTTTGATGTGACTACACAAGGATTTCATTAGTGTAAATTGCATTTCTAAAATTTCTCACGAAATAATCTACGGTTTTCTTCAATTTTTTGCGATAATGCCACTTGAACGGCAAATGATCGTGGGACGTGGCAACTGCGCTCGCATTCGGAAAAGTACCAATAAATTAAAAATAACAAACTTCGGGGAAAATGGTTTTAAGCATTGAAAATACACACTTGAATGCACAACAAACAATGAAAATCATAAATTCCAGTTTTTCTCGGAACCACATGTTTTTGAGATAGACGAGTACCTTAATAAGCACATTTCCGGAAATTTGTATACATTATTATAATTGGGAGTGGAAGTGCTTCAAATGGCTTCCAACAAAGAGTTTCGAAAACTCAAAAGTTTTCCGTGAAAAAGAGCTTCAAATTTCTCATTTACATTAACACTTAGTCGATATTTTCTTAACAAACGTTCCATATTTTTCAACGAAAATGTCTGGACGAAACGAGGTTTTAGTGTTTTTTTTAATATTCTCAAAGTAATATTTCTGTTTTACCATTAAGAAACCAAAAAATTGAGAAAATTTTCAAAAAATGTAACTTGAGTATAATAAAAAATGTAACTTGAGTATAATAAAAAATGTAACTTGAGTGTAATAAAAAATGTAACTTGAGTGTAATAAAAAATGTAACTTGAGTATAATAAAAAATGTAACTTGAGATAAATGGCAGCTAGCAAGAGGATGGGGCAAGACCGAACAGTTAGCTCAGTCCAAAGAAATTAGAAAACTAACTAGTACGAGAAAGTCTGTGCCATTCAAATTAAAATGTGACAAATTTTGGGTGAAAAATTCTTAAATGTATGGGAAGGTTAAGTGTTTAACACAATCACTGTTTTTCATTTAAATTGGTTCTTTCGGATCAATGTTCCACGCTTTGATTCGGCATTGAACATTGGACATTCTCCTTGAAATTAATCATGTCATTAAGCATTGAGTAATTTTCATTAAACATAGTCATTTTGTCATATCACTGCCTTTTATCCCTATTAAGAAGGGCTCGGCATCGTATTCGGGGTTGCCAGGCGGTCACCAATCCAGGGATCCTCGGTGACTCGAGGTGCTTAACCCCAGTGACTTCATGGAGCGTGGTAAAGAAGTACAGCTATCGACGCCCGTTTTCTATAAAAAATAAAAAAAAAATACTTTAAAAACATTCAAAGATGTTAAAAGTATAAAACGAAGTATAACGTGAACACATTTCTCTTCACATTATTTGGAATTTGAGAAAATTCAATGAGCAAAGATAACTGAGATTTTCTGAAATTCTACAACAAAAACATTAGAATGTATTTTATTTAACATTATAGAGGAGACGAGACGGTACATCATTTTCTTTACAGATTCCAATATTTTCAATACAATATTTTCTGGAAAACATTATTAGCAAGACGACATTAGCTACACTGAAGCTTATATTTATACCATTGTATATACCCACTACGTTTATAGTGAGACTGATATTGTGTGTTGATATTACACAAATATCTGGAGCAAATATATTCATGTAGTAGACATGTTTATTATCTATATACATAAATCACGAGTAATATAAATTCGATTGAATACAGCATTTTATGAGACAATTATGCTAATTAAACGAAGCACATTAATATCTCTTCAAAAACACATTAATATATTTTATGTTCAGTTTCTTCATTCACTTGGTTTTTCAGTTTTATTACACAATACAGTTAACACAATTTAATACATAAGTACGTAGCGGCAGTTGGCTTTCATTTACTGTCGGTTTCGTCGACCTCCTGCAAAAAAAGAAAGGGCATAAATAGATTTTGACTAAGAATGCAAACTTTCTTTAGACAGAATAAAATGTACAATGCAATATCAACATATTTCATCAAATAAACAATATACACTATAAATTATACATTATAAAAAGGAGGTAGACCTCAATATTGGCATTTTATATTACAGGGCACGGCAAAAAGGCCTCCCGTATTTCAAAAAGCAATTACAAAGATAGAGAAAAAACACTTTATTTGCGAACAACTTATATTATGCCATTTTACATTATTCTGGCTATAAAAATTATTTTCGGTAAAGGATGTCCTCCATCGTTCATACATTGACAAAGCCTTTCCCAAAAGTTGTCCATAGTTCTTGTATTTTTCCGGTGGAATGTCAACCACTGCCTACGTGATTACCTCCTCGGGTGCTTGCAAGAATCAAAACACAAAGTGATAAATCGAGTGACCTTCGAAATCAGATGATGTCGCTTCACAAAGAGAGAAGACGTTCAGGAAACAACTCTCTCAAATTGCTAGACAAATGTGAGCTACGGCTCCATCGTGGTGGAACCAGATCTCTCCCTACCTGAGAACTGAAAAACTGTGGACAACTTCCGGTAAAGGTTCGTCAATGTGTCAACAATGAAAGACACCATTTACCGAACATATTTATAAAAATGAAGTAATGTAAATTGGCATAGTATTTGTGCTTCATAATAACAGTATTTTTATGCAAGTTGTTTTGTAAGTGCCTTTTGAAATAAGGGAATTATTCGGTAATCGTAAGTCTTTTTTCTTCAAAAGCTAGTTACTGATGTTTATTTTCAAATAATAATTTTTAGAGAAGCAAAAACGTTTAAAAAATCCGACGCACATTTTGTCGAATTTTTGCTCATCATCCTGAACCAACTCTCAAGACAGCATTCAAATATATGGATTGGAAACTATGCAAAGGCAGAACAAGTAATTCACAATAAATCAGTCTGTACTGCATGATATTCAGGCAGTGCCGGAGCTAGAAAAGTATGGGCCCCGAGCAATGCTAAAACGTCACCCCCCCTCCGAAAAAATTTAAAATTTGAAAGTTGAATCAAAAAACTATATGAGTAATTTATTTCAACAAATAACAAAAAATATGCTAGAAAAAGTTTTGAGAAATATATTTTAAATAATAGTTCTAGGAGAAAATTATTTAGTGATCAAATAATACAATTTTAACGGCGAGTTTAAATCGGTGAAAAATAGTGTTTAGTTTAGTTCGTGTTTCATAAAATCCTTTGTCAAATACATATATTTATTTCATGTATGAAATAATAATCATGAATTTCAGTACATTCTATTAACGTCATTTGATTTATTTCATAGAGACCTGCATTATCTATGTATTATCTACCATATCTAACCTATCTATATGAGTATCTACCATAGCTCTATATGTATATGTATGTGTATATGTATATGTATATGTATATGTATATGTATATGTATGTGTATATGTGTATGTATATGTATATGTATGTGTATATATATATATATATATATATATATATGTATGTGTATGTGTATGTGTATATATATATATATATATATAAATATAAATAAATAAATAACCTATCTGACAGAATGGCTATAAATGCCTATGTAAGGGAAAAAGTTAATTGAAAATTAATGAAATATCAGACTACTGTAAAATGCCGATAACAATTTTATCGAGTTATAATTTCTTTTTCAATTTATTACTATTTTTTCCCATCAGTCACATTATCGGGTCCCTTAACTCCATTATCGGGCCCCGGGCGATCGCCCGGCCTGTCCATGCCTAGCGCCGGCTCTGCATTCACGTACTTGAGATGTTCAGATCTTGGTATTTCGAACGGTTGCGTTTTGAAACAGACCATCAGGAGTTCCATTTCACAGGAAATATGCGGTCTGTGGCAGTCGCGCGCTTCCTGTCGCCTACGTAGAACACCGCGCTTTGTTGTGCGAAATGTCAAGTAACATCGAGCTAGAAACTGATGCAAGCAGTCGCGCATCGCTGCGCCAATTATCACTCACGCAGGACACGGACTGTTTCTGCAGTGATACTGAGTGATAAAAGGTCATCGTAAGGTCCCCATTTCGTGTCCGCAACCTCCACCCCAAGGGAGACTTCTTTGATGATCTTCGGCGGAGATATTTTTCCAAGCTGCCTAGTGTTGGAGTTTGTGACACTGAGGCGATATTTTTTTGTTGGAATGAATTATTAGTTTTCTGGACGTTGTATTTCCTACTGTCACTGTAGTTGAGGTTCAGTGTTCACTATAACCGAATCTTCTTTTGCTTATTTGTAATGTACGAGTTAGTGAAACGGGATCATTGACTGAAGTTCAGTGTAACGGAGAGTTCACTACAACCGGAGTCGACTGTACTTGTTGTACAAGAGAAAAAATTTGCATTTTAGAGGATAAAATTACTAGTCTTGAAAGAAATACCCAAAACTATCAAGTTAATGATAATTATTCTAACATATTTTCAAATAATGATACACGAGTCGTACCGATGTTCCAGTACAATGGAGCCAGAATCAATTTTTATTGTCTACAACAATAGTTAATTGTTATTGCCATGTAAACTAATAAAAATGTTTATTAGTTATATGACGTTATGCGACGTAAATATGAGGAAACCAAAGCTCTGTTGTCGCTATCCATGCTCGCACAGATGTTGCCTTCTCGAAATTACCAGCACTACTGAAAAATTGGGTTGTTAGTCGGACAATGTGCCCGACGGTCGGTGCGACAAATTGGCCCGTGTGTAGAGGCCTTAAAGGAGAACCTCCACGACGTACGTCGTAAATCGTTCCGTTCGCACCCGCTTCCCGTCTCCACCCAGAGGCGCACCACTTCACAATGTCACCGGTCGAGAAACAATGGTTGTCAGAGGGAGGTACTTGCACACTGGCCAGTACACCTCAAGTTCTACGTTTCAAAGCGATTTGTCATCAACAAGTGTGCACAGCCAACGTACCCCTTGCTCTATTGCGCAGAGAGAGTCTAGAGAACGATCAGAATCTAATGGTATGTTTTCGTATTGATGTCTGAAAAAGAGAACACAGATGTTCAATAACTTTACGAGTGTTATAGAATGTTCTAGAAGAAAGTTAAAATAGCGTATGCGAACACATTTCGCGCTCACGTAATCGGGGAGTTTGCGAGAAGGGGTTGATCGTGGAAAAAGGGCGCTAGCGCGCGCATCGACGGAACGATTAGAAAGATTCACAGGCAGATTCAAACATGAACAAAGAGACTGAGAGATTAAGAAAACTGCATTGATTGATATGCAGACTGAAATCCATACAGAAAGAACAAGTTTTCTATTGTACGGTAACCAAGGCTTTTCTTCTTGTTATTTAAGGTCGTATCAACTTCTAGGTCATTAGCGACCACTGTTGCGTGTAACAGTACGGTAACTAGGAGGATGACACGATATGATGATGATAGGGGTGTGAATGGACAAACACGATACAGCCATGCCCGAGGCGGGACTCGAACCCACGATCCTTCGGTCCGAGATCTCTACGGCACTACTGCCTTGGCGATCTCGGCTATACGGACCGGCAAGGGCTGTTTTGTCGTACGATGTTTAGTCAGAAATGCGCGCTAGTTCACGGTGCTCTGACTGATACAATCACGATTAAGCGCGACTCGCATACGCTCCGGTGTAGTGTGACGGCCAGAAGTGTGAAGTGTCGGTCAAAAATCAAGATGTCGGGCTTCGGCTTCGCCATTTCCATACGCGCCTGGCCTTTGGGGAGTGACCTGGTGTTGGAAACGCCTTTCCGCGCGGCGAGCTCGCCTTTGATCAACCGCCGCACAAGGCCATCCCGAGGGGAAGGCCCACACGCACGCCACGCCCCTTACTGAGGAATACTGAGAAATCGCGTCTCCCATAGGACGCGCAAGTCAACGGCAAGGTAATATGCCGAACCAATTTGTCTACGCCGCTGCCAATAGATAATGGACTTCAATTAAATTTCGACGGTAGTCGCTTGTGAATACTTAGTAATATCAAAATTCAGACTTATAACATAAGTAAACGCATCTATTGTAATAAGATTTCCTTTTCTTTTTAATAAACACACATTCGTCTCTTTGGCGATACGATTCCCAGCATTGTGTTTTTTTTGCTAGTGTACAATTTGCATCATACCCCGATTTGGAACCACCCAATCTTCCATATATCTCCACGACCGGCATTATTCCGGGCGAGGCCAGCACCATACAACTCGCCCAATTCCCCCACGTGCTTGTTTTCAGTCCCAGTTAATAAGCTCGTTATGGTGCCATTACATTATTTTGCGCACCAACGTATGATCATTTCTTAAATACTATGACTAACGACGGGATTATTTATATGTTTATGGACGAAACTGCGATAATAAGCTCTTAAGACAATTTTAAGCATATTTTGTGTAATACACTCCGCAATATGCACTCAAACGTTGGTTTGAAAAAATACGTTCTATGCAAAAATTTGCATTGCAGAAACATAAACACTCCAGAAAACGTAAATTGTTTATTATTTCCAAAAGAAAAGATTTGTTCAGAAAGAAAACATTACACATAAATAAATTAGCTCTCAATTTACACAATTCGACTGTTTTTGCGAAATTTTCAGAGACAAAAAGGAACGTAACATATGTGTGTCTCACTGGGATCAGGAAAAGCAGAAGATTCAAATTGCCGCGCAAGATGGGGCTCTGAATGTTTTGAAGATACCACTCCTCCAGAAACTCCCTCATCTCTGCGCCTTTTACGGAGTTACATACGTAGTATTTAAAGGCCCGCAAAGTTGCGCAAAATCGATTTCGAGATTTCAACGGCGCTATTCCTGCCGCGCGCTGTCTTTGAGTTGAACATTATAAAATGAGAACCTTGACATGAGAGGACTGATTAATTGATAAGTGATTCGGAACCCGTCAACTGCTATGAACATTAGTCCCGTAAGTATAGTGCGCGTTTTTCCTTCGGGAGATGGCGATGATCTTCCCTCGCTAGATAGTGAGATCTGGCGCCGATCTAGCGTGGGGTAGTGGGATTTTCCCCCAACCAGAAATCTTCTCCTGATAATATTGCGTAATGTTGAAGGCTGGTAGAAGAACAATTTCATCTTGTTCTTGCAGTATGACACACTCAGTTTTTTACGTTCAAAAATCATTATAGCCATGAAATTATTGCTAAGACTAATAAAACATCTTATGATTTCCAACGTTCCCCAGTAATCATCGTTTAAAAAAAAACCCCCTTTGATCTGAAATGTAAATTGTTAATTTATTTTTTCTGAGTTTGACGCTTACCATCAAGGAATTTGAAATTTGAAGCACTTTTGAATGAAACTGCACAACTGGGGAACTATATGTAGCGATAAATTCCTTTGTTAAAATTATTATGATGAAAATTTCGAAACAAAGTTACAATCGAAAGAATGAATAAGATGGTTAATTCTCCAGTAAAATTTCCATTTTTCTCTGTAAGATGTTTCGTCTATTAATCACTGATATTTAAAATTTAACTACTGAATATAAAGAGCAGTTACAACAACAGATTTCAACAAATTTAAATATTACAGTAGTTGCACCTTATGGAACTTCTTGGCAAGTAATTTGAATAACACAGGAAGTTTCTGAAATAAAGGACGCATGCGTTTGTTGTTTACAAAAAAATTAAGGATGGATTATTCAGTTTCATTAATGAATGCGTGTGAGAAATGTGGGTAGATGTGCGTGGGGGGAGAGGCTTTTAGGGAAGTGTTTAACCACATCTTGCAGGTCATTCCAGATGAAATGATTACATATTCGCTACTACTCTATTACAGAGTTAAGTATGGTAAAACTTCATAATTAAACAATCCCTGAATGAATTCTATAACTTTAATACCGCAAACAAGGATTTGGTGTATAATTGAATTTCAATATTTGTTTCAGTATTATTTAAACTGATTAAAAGAATAGAATATTTGCGAACAATGTCTTACAAGCGAGGTTTTATAGTGATTGAAAATAACCAAATATGAACATGAGTCTATAAAGAAAAAATACTAGCTGAAAAATAAACTGATTGTACACACGATACTTCTCAACGCAATATGGAATGAAAATAGAATTTTAAGACGATTGTATAAAATATAGTGAAAATACTGTTAAAAACAAAATTTTACTTTACCTTTGTTGTTTCTACCTCCTTTAGTTTTACATTTCTTGGTTATTAATCGACTTTGTTCACAGGACGGATCACTGTTCGCCTTTAGAGAATCGTTGCGTGTCATTTGATTCTGTGGGGAACAGTCGCTCCATGCACCTTTCTCATATCGACATGCTGCGGTGAAATAAACAATACTTGTTAAAACTAACTATTAAATTATCAATTAAAAACATACTACGTTCAAAACGTAAGCAAACTCTGATATTTACAATGAAAATTTACGAACAGAATTCTACTTAAAAATGATCAAAATAACGATTCTGATTATCATTTTGGAAAGTAAAAAATTTATTTCGTCACAGAGTCCAAAGCAATCTGAGAATCTAGAAATATGAATGTTATACTGGTACATCGAATTCCGAATGTACAGTTGATGATGATGAAGATGATGATGATAATGAAGGCTGTTTAAGGGCACAATTTGCACTGTGACAGTGCCAAGCTAAAACATTAAAAAAAATGCAAAGTAAAATCTGAAGAAATAAACTGAAAATAAATGGGTCCAATTGTAAAAAAAAGGGATTTGGCAAAAAAGAATCCAAATAAACACTAAAATCTTCTAAGTAAAAGCCACATTAATTAGCATTATCATCTTCTCTCAGATAAGGCTGTAGATGTTAGTCTCGTGTAAAAAGCTAAAAAGCTTACAGTGAAAAGATTCCAAGTATCTCCGCTCGAGAGCTAGCAAGGTGATGCCTTCGGCGGCTATCTCTCATCTTACAATAGGGCAGGAGAGCATGTTCTACGGTAAGGTCCGTCTCCCAACTATCCCAAGCAAGTAGTGGGTAACCGCGGAGATATCCGTGAGAGATACAGTAGTAACCGACCCAAAGGTGTGTCAGAATAATCTCCTTACGCCTACAGCCACGATATAAGGAAGACCAAGGTATTATGGAATGCATGATTCTTGCGAGCTTAACATCCGAATTTTGCTATGCACTAGAAGAGAGTGTTTGATAAAGAACTTGGTATTATTCGTAGAGACTGTAAGGATGTCTAACTATTTTCTACGAGGCGAGCTTTGCTGCCTGGCCAGCTATTTCGTTGTTTTTTGTTGTTCTTTGTTGTTTTTTTGTTATTCCCACGTGGCCAGAGACCCCAACAAAAACAATTTACACAAACTTACAGTCAAGTCTTCAGGGGAGTTCTGACAAGCTCAAGGAGGGAAACGTTTTCTGGGTTCATGTTTGGCAGCTCGATGTTGTTTCAAAGGTCTTAATCATGGTAGTGGTCTTGATCACGGTACAATCACGAGAGAGATGTGCAAGTTTTTATTACCAAGTACTGACATTTGGCCTCGGGAAATGACAACAACTCGGTGTCTAGGATCTTCTAAATTTACCTCTCCTTCGGAAAGGTAGAACTCTCAAAGACTACTGACAGTACCTGAAGTACGCTTAATATTATTAAACGTTATAGTACAAATAGAATGCTTCATAAACATATGAAACCTAGTTTCACTGAAACTTGATAAGTCTTCCAACTGGTCAAAACAATTCATTATTTTCACATCCTCCAATAATCCAATATTTAAAGGCACACAGTTTCAAATAACAATAGAACTATATCTACGCCTGGCAACTGATACAGAAACGGAATAGCATTGGGTAATAGTTAGGAAGGAAAGCAAATGTAGACTTTTTTTGGGGTTGGATAGACGAAATAAACTTCGCGTCGTATGTTTACCATAAGAAAAAGTACTGCTTGTAACATGTCTCCCGTACACATTTACCAAGTATAATGATTTTTTTATTGATTGATGTTTAAGAGAGCTTTGACAGAGACGGTTTAAGAGTCTTTGTCAAATTAATTTAAAATAACTATAACTTTAATAAAAGAAGCCAGTAGCGAATGCATGTATTACGCTGAATAAAAGTATTGCAGACCGGGGTGGCTTTGTGCCAATTTGGAAACCTTTTAGTAAATAATTTGTTTATTTTTCGCGTAATTAAACTAATAGATATGAAATATAAAAGCATGATGTGTTTATTTTATTTAGCGATAATTATGGAAATAAAAGTCAATGAACGAAAAATGCTACCTAAACTTTCATAAAGTCAGCTCCTAGGATGGGTTGACTTTACGTACTTACATTTATTTTCCGACTGTCAATGCTACACGATGCATAGTACAGTTTCCCCCTTCTTCATAATTGCTTTGAAGCAAGGAATGAATTAAACAGTGTCACAAAGCCTAAACCTTTATTTAATGCATATTTTAAGTCATTAATCATTTTGACATTGGTAATGATAACAGAATAATGCAATTTCCCCCAAATTCTTTGTTTGCTCTGGAATAGCGAAGAGCCCTCTTTTTTTAACTCAGGGTCTAGATTATATCTTCATATTTGTAAAAAATGTCATCCCTATTCAGCGGCCATATCTGAAACCCCTTGGATTTCGGCAAGACATTTACCACAACCAAATCACTTGCGATGGCAGTTACTTTTCCAGGAAACAGTTCTTCTTCATACTACACCATTACAAATTCCCCTGCTGTTATGGATTGGGAAAATAATGAATTGCGAGTGATGTTACTGGAGGAATCATCACTGCATTAATTGATAATCATTCAATTTTCTCTTTTCGCAAGAATTGACATGTATAATTTAGCTAACTTAAAGAAAAGTGTTTAAAATTGAAAACTTTGCATTGAATATTCAGTAGCTACTGGCACACAGACACCCCAACATTTTCCATCAGTTTATTTATCTCTCAAACAAAAAACTAGGAAAGGCAGAGAGTAGATACTACAGTGCTAGATTGACGAATAATGCTGTAAAAAAGTGCACTTATTTTATCCTCCTTGAAGTTACTGTACTCTGAGTTGCAGCGTAACTTCTAAGACGTACGTGAGCGCAGCGCGCAACTGAAATCGCGGAAACGCTGTAATAAAAATGCAGTTCTTAAATTATATAACAGGGAGTACTACCCATCATATGCATTATCTATTCACCAACGCCTCTGGTATAGACAATACAACGTGGTTTAAGAAAATGGTTTTTTAAAAGGCGCGGTAGTACAAAGTCACTTCCGCGGCACAAAGTATTATGGTGTATCTGGACGAGTATAGAAAAGCCGCATAAAATTAACTAAACTAAAAAGAACAAGACGTCAATAAAATCTTAATAACAGGCTACACAGAGGCCAAGAAGGATAAAGAAAACACGATGTGATATTTTTCTCTCAGATTGAATGGTCGTATATTTCAATTTCCCCCCCAAAAAAAAGAGGTTTAAGAGCTCGGACTCGTCTATGCCGAGCACCTCCTCTTGAGAAATATCCAGTGTCAACAAACTTGCCAAAGTGAAAATAGGGCGTGTGCCTCAGAGAGGTCAGTCTTCTATGTGCCATAGATGAGAAGAGGTTCACCTCGCAGGAGGAAACCATGCGAAAAGTAGCAATGACGGATGAGAAGACGCGTTAAAATTACTTCATGAGATGAGAAACAGAGAGCACTTAACTAGTGATACTACAGAATGGCGTAGACTTTCTCTCGCTAATTAGCTTTCTCCAATTTCCTTTGGTCTGCGGTAGATTTTCGATCTTGCCTATGCTCTTGCCAGCTGTCATCTATCGCCGCCCAAAAACATTTTTTAAAATTTTTTCTCATTTTCTCGGTTTTCTAATAACAGAAAGAATTACTTACTTAAAGAATATTACAGAAGAGTACAATCTTACCCTATACGGAACTGTTCATTGTTAAATTTGGAGCAATTTTTTAAGAAAATGTCATTTAAGCGTTACTGTAAATGCGAAATTTGAAGTTCTTTTCAGAGAAAACTGTTGACTTTTAGAGAAATGCATGTGAAGTCATTTGAAGCATTTCCACTCACAAATGCAATTATGTATGGAAATGTGCATATTAGTGGCATGAATGATAATTCATAAACATACATCTGCGTATTTTTTTAAGAAAAAAAACCTAAAAGAATTCAGCTTAATGGCTTTTATGTCATCTTATACGGTGCATTTAGCACTATCCGTACAAAGAGTTTGAAAAAAATTGGACAAAATGGTGTTTGAGCGATCCTGAAAATGCAGTATTTTGAACTCATTTTCACAGAAAACTTTCGAGTCTTCGAGAAACTTTATTAAATATCATTTCAAGCACTTAATTAAAAAAAATCATCTATACAAATCGACAAAAAAATTACAACTGCGTAATTTAAAAAAAGGAAAATTGGGTTTATGTCAACTTATACAGTTCATTTCACAGTAAGCCTACTAAGAAAAAATATGGAGCCGTTTTTGAGAAATTAGTTTTATTTTTTTATTTTTCAATATTACACAAGTTTCAACATTGCGCGCAAACTATTACAATTTTCAAGAAAATGTTCATAATCTTCATGAAAGAACGAATTTTGGAGAATAAATTTTATTTGAAGAAAAAATCACTACCTTGCTTAACAGTAAAAATCGGATCTATGCCAACTTTGTAAGTGAATTTCACTTTATTCTTACAAGCAATTTAAAGAAAAATTTGGAGCGATTTTTGACAAAATTTTGAAAATGTCACAGGGTCTTCAGGTAAAGTATAGTGAAGTCAGATCGACGGGGGGGGGGTTAGGTAAGGACACCATTTACATTCTTTGTTACAAAAGCGCTGTTGACCACAGTAATAGCAATGACACACCCAATATTAGCACACCAATAATAGCAATAAATTGCACCCAAAATTCTTTCACGCGACACCCTGTTTCACAACTCGTGATAAGAAAATAGCCTTTCATCCAGGTGGACGCGGATTTCCTTAAAAACAGGGAAACTGCTAAGAATCATAGAAATCGTCTGAGTCTACAAAAATGCACTCTTAAATGTATTTCATTTTGAGGTGGGGAACTTCAATCCAGTTTTATCGCTCTACTCTTGCAATTTTGAAGTCTGCCTTGCGATTGCCTCTGAATAATAAATAACCTCTTCGAAGAGTACAAAATTACGGCCACTGGAGGCAAAATATCATTTTTAACAATTACTTCAACTGTACCTGAGGCGGTCGGGCAGCAACCCCTCCCCTGTGGGGAAGAGTCTTTCCCTTGATGGGAACGTGATATAAGGAGTGATAGCAACTTTATTGTTTATACGCTCGTTAGACTTTTGTTTTGGGATTGTGAT